GCCGCCATCGGCGTTCGAGCCCAACACGGAAAACCCAGCGATCTCGTGGGAGGAATGGCGATCCTCTTACCTCATCTACGAGACAGCCTGCGAGTACGCCAAGAAACCAAAAGCAGCACGGAAAGCGCTCCTTCTCCATGTACTTGAACCACAGGCACTTCGGATATACCAGACTTTTCCACCGCCTCCAGCCTTATAAGGCTGGAGGCGGTGGCTGCGGCTTCTGCGGGTATACCCGCAGAAGCCGCAGCCCCCTTCAACAAGGTCGATTATATCTCAGAGCAGTTTGACGCGCTCTACCAACCGTACAAGAACGTAACCCAAGCAACTGCAATCTTTAACTCGATGGCACAGCAGGCGGGCCAGTCCATTGATGATTTCGTCACTGAGCTCCGACTTCAGGCTCAACGTTGCGACTTCGGCAGGACGGGGGGTTGGCTCATTGGTGACAGGATTATCGTTGGAATCCAAGACTCGGCACTTCGCGAACGGCTTTTCCCCGAGCAGAACCTTACTCTTGAGAGAATAATATCAACCTGCAAAGCCGCAGAAATATAAAAAAAAAACATGTCAAGGATCTCCAGGCAACTGCACCTAAGACAGTGGTGGACGAGATGCATCGAAAGAATTGGCGAGATGGCAATTTTGACCGCGAACAACGGCGCCGGTACAATTACCCGACGCAACCGCCGCTACAGCAACAACGTCCGCCACAACCGCAACAGCATACACAGCACCCGCCTACAACCCGGCCATGTTCGAGGTGTGGTATGGTGCATGCCCCTAAAAATTGCCCTGCCTATGGGAGCAGCTGCTTTCGGTGCGGGAAATTTGGACACTTTGCATCTGCATGTCGACAAACAAGATCTGGCCCAGCGAGCCACATATCCAGTCTTGACAACGACGGTTTCTTTCTGGGACAGCTGACAGTGGACAACGTTCAGACAACCTCTTGGACGGCCACAGTTGATGTTCACAACAAGGTCACCTTCAAACTGAACACAGGGGCTGACGTAAACGTCCTTCCCAGGCATGTTCTTAGGAATGGAATCAACCACCAAAGGTAGAACCCACCTGTGTCAGGGTCTCCACCTACACTGGCGGTTATCTGCCGATCAGTGGCAAGTGCATCCTGCAAACAAAGACAAGAGACCTTAGCCGCAATTTGAGATACCTGGTTGTGGACCTTAATGTTATCCCGATTCTTGGTGCTGAGGCATGCCAGGATCTTCAGCTGATACAGCGACTTCGGCACCTGGACTCGTCAAGCGAATCAACCGACGCTGTAGCACCTACTGCCAAGTATTTGGCCGCGACTGACATCATCAAGGACTTTCAGGATGTGTTTACTGGAATTGGTCAGCTTCCGAGAACTGAGGCAATCACGCTCCAAGACGGAGCAGTACGTTCTATCGCTGCTCCCCGCAAGATTCCACTAGCTATCATAGAGAGAATGAAGGCGGAGCTTGACAAGATGGGACATGACAACATCATCACAAAGGTCACCGCGCTAACAGATTGGGTGAACCCCTAATTAGTAGTCGTACCGAAAAAAGGTGGCAGCCTACTGATCTGTCTTGACGCCAGACAGCCGAATAACGCCATCAAACGTCCGCATTATCGCATTCCGATGCAGGAGGAACTGTTCGCTCACTTGGGTGAATGCACTGTGTTCACTCTCTTTCATGCAAAATCAGCTTTTTGGCAGCTGACACTGTCTGAGGAGAGTTCGTACATTTGCACTTTTGCAACTCCTTGGGGCCGGTTTCGCTTCTTGCGGCTACCATTCGGACTAAAAAATGCACCCGAACTCCTACAACGTGGCATGGATGACATCTTCGCCAGGATCAATGGCGTTTACCCCTACTTTGACGACATTCTCATCGCATCAAAAACAATGAACGAACACATTAAGCAGCTACATCTAGTTCTGCTGACAGCACGCAAGTACAACCTCCAGCTCAATGCGAAAAAAAATGCAAGTAGCAGTGTCCACCATCTCCTACCTGGGACATCAGCTAACGACAGACGGAAATCAAGCTGACGCTGCGAAAATAGAGGCCTCATTGCTATGCCGGTGCCCGAAAATAAGGTAGAGCTGCTCAGATTTCTTGGTATGGTCACTTACCTTACCAAATTCATACCAAATGCCTCAAGTGAAATGGCACGCCTGAGACAGCTAATAGGACCGACGTCTCATGGCACTGTGATGAGAACCTGACGTTAGAGTTCATCAAAATCAAGCGTATGATCACCGAGACACCTGTCCTGCCCTTCTTTGACAAGACAAGGGACATTGTAGTTTCAGAAGATGCGTGCTCATATGGAGTTGGTGGTGTTCTCCTGCAAGAAGGCCATCCAGTTGCCTATGCCTCAGCCGTTCTGACCCCTACTCAACAGAAGTACGCACAAATTGAAAAAGAACTACTCGCCACAGTTTTTGCATGTGAGCACTTCCATTATTACACCTACGGTAGAATCGTAACCGTTCAGACTGACCATAAGCCTTTGATTGGTCTACAACAAAAAGACTTCGAGAAGATCACACCACGGCTACAGCGTCTTCTTCTCCGGCTTCAGCGATACGATGTCCGTCTGACATACGTCCCAGGAAAAGAGCTCACCGTCGCAGACGCGCTTTCTCGAGCACCTGCCAACACAAGCTCATGCCGAGACTCTGAGCCCGGAGAAAGTCTGGGGATCTGTACACTAGTCAACGCATCGACGACAAAACTGGAACAGATTCGTCAGGCAACAGCTGCAGATCAGATGCTGCAGCAAGTCTCCAGGTACAAAGAGAAGGTTGGAAGGAACAGCGCTCAGTTCATGTGACAGCAAAACCTTTTTTGCATTGCAAAGATGAACTGCACATATGTGAAGACCTAATATGCCGTGGGCAGCGACTGGTTCTACCTACATCATGTCAGCAGGACGCCCTAGAGAAACTACATGGAGCACACCGTGGCATTGTGTCATGTAAGAAAAAGGCACGAGAGGCTCTTTACTGGCCCTCAATGAACAAAGATATTGAGCAGATGGTCCAGCGGTGCGAGCATTGCCAGCGCTACCAGCGACAAAACCAACATGAACCACTTGCTGATCGTGACTTGCCTGACCGCCCGTGGCAAAATATCGCAGCTGATCGTTTCTACTTTAACAGATCGACTTACTCATCGTGGATTACTTTAGCAAGTATGTGGAACTACAACTCATGGCGTCCGCCTGCACTGAAGCTGTCATCGCCGCTATGAAAGCTGTGTGCGCCAGATTTGGAGTACCTGAGGAACTAGTCTGTTACAATGGACCGCCATTTAATGCAGCAAAATTCAAAGAGTTCCTCACCAGCTGGGACATCACCTACAATCCCAGCTTACCCTACTATGCCAGATCGAATGGACTTGCTGAAAGATCCATTCAGACCATAAAGCACGCACTTCAGAAAGCTGTAGAAGATGGAAAATACCTCTTTGGTTGTGCTTATGGATGCTAGAAGCACTCCCATGGATGGACTGAAGTCGCCTGCAGAGCTCCTAATGGGCAAAAAAATCTGCACACTAATCCCGATTAATCCAACTCAACTGCAACCCCACTACAGCTGCACCGAGGCCCGATCTCGTCTACATTTTCGTCAGGAACGGCAGCATCGGCATGGGGATAAGAGAACCAAGCCCCTGGTCGCACTTCAGGCGGTTTCAGCACTGTGGCAAGTGGACACCAGGCTACATTAATTCTGTGGGACCCCAGCACCGCTCATACGCTGGGATGACACCGGAAGGCACCACGTATAAGCGCAACAGGTATCACATCCGAACCGCTAACAGTCAGCCGCCAACAGCGACTGTTACAACCGAGGATTACTATGCCGCAGCTCCTTCTCCACTTGTAGCCAGTTCACAGTCACTGCCGCCCCCCCCCCCCCTCCCCCTCCACTCGCAGCAGACTCGTACCAGCACTACTACACCCGAGCAGGTAGAAAAGTGATGAAACCGCAAAGATTCATACAATGAAGAACTCGAGGGCTTTGGAATTTTTAATTTTTGTGTTAAGTTCATTTGTTTTGTTTTGTTTTTTTGTTTTTTAAAGGGGCGTGTTATGTATGTTGACTAACAGCCAGCGCTCCCTGGCTCCGGTGCTCTCGTGGCAACCTGCCGAGGATGCGCGCTCTCGAACATTCCATCGACGACTGACCAGAAGCAGCATCTCATTTCTATGTTCTAGACTATGCTCTAAATAAACATAGTCTGGTACATAACACTACCAACCCGCAATATAATATACGAAGCTATTACACATCAAAACCTCGTCAAGCTCGGCTAGGTACTTGTACGCACCTAGCAAGAATTGGGAGTACACTTTTTGACACGGTTAAAGTTAACCGGCTTCAGGCAAACGGGCCCTGCTGGGTTGTGCGGGAATTCAACTAGCGAAGTCCCAATTGGCAGCGGAAAGTGCAGCGTGACAGCACGCACTTGAAAATCGGTCCGCCACCAAGGGAAAGAAAGGCCACAGAAAGGTATTCGCATGGTACAGGACCCCAAAACAAAACAAAATCTCGGAAAAAGTTCCTTCACACTTACTTGAGCACTCAAAGCTACAAATGATGGAAGAAGCAACAGCTTCAGAATTGAAAATGCCAGTGTTTTATTTAAGGACAGAACGAGCGGGTTGGTAGGGATAATTAAACTTGAGGAAGAAAACACGAAGGGACGGACGAGTACAAAGTACCTTTTAATCCGCATCGGAATGTACTTCCTGCTCGGCCGTCCTAGCTTCCCTTTACTACAAGAATCGGGGGTCACACCTCGAGGTATGATCGGGAGATACTAGAAGCCTTCGTCATGTGTCGATCCAATGACAACATGGGTTCCCCCTCCATCGCCCTTTCGGGGAAAGAGATAAGATTTCTTAGTTCAGGGCCTTTTCTCTCCCTCCCTCCCTCCCTCCCTCCCTCCCTCCTCTCCTCTCCTCTCCCCCCCCCCCCCCCCCCCCCCCCCCCCCGTTTCCGACAGCGACGTACCCTTGACGGCATAGTGCTCTTCCTTTCCACCCTTTTTTTTTCACCCCCTTCCTTTTCGTGTATATAAGCAAACTCTTGGTGTCAATAAATGTTGTTGCCAGTTGGAAGTTTGTATCTGTCCGTCCCTTCTCGTTTTCTTCCTCAAGTTTAAGTTTTCTTTATTTTTGCAGCAAAACTGAATTTCAATTTCTTTCTTATGGAGTTTACTTTCTGCAGGTTTGTTTCTTTCAGATAAACAGGAGCTCTATCAAACAACAATAAAGACATTTGCACGAACATAATGGAACTCACCTCAAAGCAGTACACCTCGAGAGTGCAAAGGAACTTGGAACAAAAGCTAAAGCATGACCCACTGTGCATTCAAACGCAGAACATAAGAGTATACTGCTCTAAAACACGTTAAGCAAAGTTACCCATTACACTGCCCAGCCTCTAGATTGCAGCTGGCAAGGAATCATTCCCTACTCCCCAATACATTTGTGTGATGACAAACCGTGGCATTTTGAAGAAAGACTTGGCAGCAATACGCCAGACAGTTATTACAATAATGCAATTAAATGCAAAGGTGCAAGCGAGCTGGACAAGAATGATGGAAATTTGTGTTCGTTCTTTGTTCCTCTTGTTCCCCTTCTCCAGGGATTATTTCCATCATATTTCATCACGCCAGACAGTCTAGTTCTGTGTGAACAATCTTTGTGAACCGCCACACCGGAATTCAAAACTAAACCTTCTCAGATATTGCTGGCATTTGAAAGGGCTAGTTGCTGCCAGTGTTTTTATGAAAATGCCATTTGGCTTTTAAAACATCATCTGTTGGCATGCGCCTGATTAGGGAACACCGTTTAGAAAGTGGCGTCGGGTGGAGTTGGCCTATGTAAGGCTTCTCACGCACAGGCGCCTCAGTGTGGCGACCTTAACCATTAATTTGAGCAATGCCTTGAGATTTATCTTGCACTCGGGTATATGTACATTTAAATGAAAATGGCATACAAGTGTGCATGAGTGAAATTATAACACACCTTACAAAGCATAGCACGCTCAACTTATAGGTTAACCGCAAAGCACTCGGCACGTGCGCATCTGTAAGGTTTTTGAACAATGTGTCTGATAATGGCGGTTCCGACTGGAATTATGAAAAAAGGTTTTAAAGCAGTGCTTGCACTTGAATTGTTTTCCACTGTGTGTTCGACTATGGGAGGTCAGATAGGAATTCAGAGAAAAGGCTTGGGGGCAAAGCTTGCACTTAAATGGCTTTTCACCAGTGTGTATTTGGTTATGCCTTCTCAGATCTGGATTCCGAGCAAAGGCTATTTGGCAAAGCTTGCACCTATATGGCTTTTCACCAGTGTGTGTTCGGGTATGTACTCTCAGAACTGAATTACAGACAAAGGCTTTTGGGCAAAACTTGCACCTAAATGACTTCTCATCAGTATGTGTTTGATTATGGACTTTCAGGTCTGCATTCTCATCAAAGGCTTTTGGGCAAAGCCTGCACTTAAATGGCTTTTCACCAGTGTGTCTTGACTTATGTCTTGACAGAGAAGAATTCAGAGCATATGATTTTGGGCAAAGCTTGCACTTAAATGGCTTTTCACGAGTGTGTGTTTGGTTATGCATTTTCAGATCTGCATTCCAAGCGAAGGCTTTTGGGCAAAGCCTGCATTTAAATGGCTTCTTACCAGTGTGTATTGCATTATGCCTTATCAGAGATGAATGCACAGTAAATGATTTTGGGCAAAGCTTGCATTTAAATGGCTTTTTACCAGTGTCCGTTTGATTATGAACTTTCAGATGTGCATTCCAAGCAAAGGCTTGGGGGCAAAGCTTGCACTTAAATGGCTTCTCACCTGTGTGTGTTTGGTTATGGCCTCTCAGATCTGAATTACAAGCAAAGGCTTCAGGACACAGTTTGCACTTGAAAAACTTATCACTCTTGTGCTTTTGGGTGTTGCTTGGCACTTTGGATCTAGATTCAGGGGACACGGGAGAACGCTGGCTGTTGAATTGCTCATTGCCATGGGCCACCAGGTGGCTCACGATTCCACGCTGATCTCTGGTGACATAGGTGCAGGAACAGCATCTGAATGAGATGACCTCGGTGACTTTCAATGGGCTGCTGGTCATCCCCAACTGCACAGCTCCATCACCTACAAGGAAAAAGCTCATGTGTATTAGCATACACAAGAAATGGCCAACCAAGATAGCCACTTAGTTTGGACAATAGTAGTGACTAATGCAGTCTTCCTAAAGCTATGCAGTATATGTTGCTGCCCTTTGAATTTAAGTTTCCAGAAGCATTCAAATACAACTGTTTCCATTAATTAAGGGGAGTTCCTAGTCTTTAAAAAAGAAAATCCAAGGAAAATTTGATTTTTAAACCTTCTTATAATTTTATCCCTAAGTCATAGTTTTCATATATTCTGTTTACTGCACACAGAATGCGTGTCATTATTTAGTTATGTCTATCAGAATTTTGATAGCCATGGTGCTTAGAAGCTTGTTCTTTAAAACTTCTTCCTGATTTCTTAGAATTATTCTTTTTTTTCGTGACAATATATTTTTACTGTAGTTTTGCACATAGGACTTGGATCTGAATATATTTTGGGGGCTGGATACCTCATTAATCAGCGAGCGAAACAAGAACAAGATTTCAATAGACGGTTAGATAAGAGGTTTTATAGTAGACAATAACTTATTGACTTCCTTCTAGTTATCATTCAAAGAATTCCAGCATGAGATGCCATCTTGTCTTGCTAACATCGATGCCCCGCTATACAGACAAAATTGACAAAATTGGAGGGGGCCGATCACCCCCCATGCAATTCTGTCTCAACGTAGAAACTCATGGTCTGGACTACGGACAGCTAGTTTTGGAAACAAACTGGGAAAATATATGCTGCGAGTTTCGCCACTTTCTGCTCTTGGTTGCCCTTCCTTCGAAAAGGAATAAGACCTGGGCACCGAACAATGATGTAATTTTTCGGGGCTTCCCAGGCAAATAGGTCACCTGCCCTCTTCCCCCTATGTGTCCCGGCCACAGGTGACTAACCCAAAGAAAATTCAAAGGCCATGTGCACACCATACACCAGGATTACAGGGCATTCCCAAATGCTATCCGGTTGTAAAAATGCCTCATAAATAAGCCAATGAATGCAATGCACAGAATCTTACCACAAAGGAGTCTTTAGGCAGTGCATTTGTCATACTCAAATTTGGGTTTCTGGGAAAAATGCCAGAAAATAAATACTTCATATTTGTTATGCACGGGAAAAAAACGGAAGCAAACTGTCTCGTTGACGTTGCTGTTTGCGTAAAGTGCGACACACTACTCGCCTAAAACCGATCGACGATGCCGATGTCGCCATGTTGGCCATGTTGCAGAGCGGACGACGCGGCATTGTATAGACAGCCGAAGCTCTTGTAGCGTCCGCATTACACCCGTTGCCGAAGCGCCACTGCCAGCCTCCGCCGTGCTGCGTACCCTATCCCTCTTTCGCTCGTATTGCGATTACGCTCAAATTTTTAAGCTGTCCACACAAACACGTGAAATCTTGCTCCGCATATATGCGCCGGATGTTCTGCTTTTATGAGAACCGAAGCAGGTAAGAGAAATACGACTCTGCTTGGGCTGTGCTGTAGCACAAGAGCATGAAGCACATCATTAGTGCGCACTGCCCAGATCTCAGCACAAATAATAAAGGAAAAACAAACAAAAAATGCAGGGAGAAATCCTGGAGCAAGAGAAAAAAAACACAATGAAAAGAAATACAAAAACCGAGGAAAGGGCTAGGTAGATGGTCACATAATCTCTTATCATGCGACTGCCCCATACCGGCGTGCAAAAAAAGACGTCCCGGCGAAGTGCATTTTCTCTTTGAAATGTCACCGACTCCGAGCGCTGCACACCGTTTCGGGGCAATTCCGACACAAGTTGACCGAATATGCTACGAGATAATAAGTACTATCATAAACAGCACCAGCTGAAGTTGCTGGAGCGTGTGGCTTTTGAAACATGCTGTACAACCTAGAGGCAGATAAAACTGAGGAGTGGAGAGCGGGCTGCGAGAATGTGCATAAACAATCGGAAAGAATAAACACAATTATTCGGGATGAAAACAGACGCATACAACCAGAAGAGCCGAGAAAAGAGTTGTATGCGTCTGTTTTCGTCCCTAATCGGTGTTTATTCTTGCCGATTGCTTAAGTAAGTATATTTACCAACACGCTCGTTTTTAATGAGAATGTGCATTATCTCCGGTGTGCACACCCTCGCAGCTTCCCCTCTGCACTATACACGAACTCATCTCTGTTACGTCACGTCGCGGTGGTGGCGCGTCGGACGCACTTCCGGTCTAGGGCTGTGAGCGGATGTCCCCATGTGAGACGTGCATTTTTGCGTTGTTTTGAAAAGAACCAGACAGAAACCTGCCTTCTCGTCAAAATGCAGCGACTGGGGTTGTACCAGAAGAGTCGAGAAAAGCTTGAAGGTCAGTTTTCATGTGCTCGGTTCGTCCGAGAACGTGGAAATGTGCAGTAAAAAGGAAAAACGTGACGCCGAGGACCACGATTGCTTGGGCGGGAAGCACTTTGGGTTGAATTCACGATTACTTGGGGTCATCAGATTTATTTGTTTTGTTCCCACATGAACGCCAGAAAACTGTCAAGTTGTACGGACCACCTGCAGACTACTTTCTGTGCGCATTGAAGTTCAAACGACCGCCTGATCGTTCGAACTGTCGTCAGCTCTTTTAGACGACACCGGCCCGTACACAAATGTTGGCCTGGTACTAGCGATAAGAATTAAGTGCAGGCCTCAAAAGACTTAAGATTAAAGGTTGGTAAGCAGGCTCGATGTAAACAATAGATACAAAGAGATCTTGATCATTGTTACCAGTGGCCATCGCCGACTTGTTATGCCTGAGTCACTTGGTCCGATTCAGCTTGTGATTTTCAGTATCGACGTGGACCATCTCAGCTACGGTTCACGCTTTTGTAGCCCGAGCGACGTCGCGACTTAAAATTGCGAGCGAAATCTCATCATGCGAATCAGGCTTTAGCGTCCATTCTGCGGCGTCCACGCGGAATGAATCGCCGCATGTCACATTATTCAAGCGAGGTTTTGCGGAGTAACGAGCCTCGGTAATCTCGCTGAAGTAGTCAGACATCGCCAGGATGACGTAGAATCAACAATTCGACCGCGAAAAAGGGCAGGGAGACTTGCACCGATGCCGACAACATCGCATTCCGACGGTTTGTTTATGGGCGACGGCGAGCTTCTTGCCCACACTCCATCGCGCATGCGCGGCGCCGGTGGCGTCCGCTAGGGGCGCTCCGGTTTGTTTGTAAACATGAGTTGGTGTATATACTGTTTCATCAGTTTCCAGTTAGTGCAGAATATATCGAAGACCACGCGCTCTAGCATTCATGCACACATTGTTGACGATAGTAAAAGATAGTGAGAAGTGTAATTAAGAGAGTAGTAAACACTTGCCAGAAACTGGGTTACTACCAAAGTATTTTAAATTCAGTGTTTTGAAAAGAGTATCTGAGATGGGCACAAGCCTGAGTGAGATGAATTAACTGTACAGATACTGATACTAACACTGATACTTGGTGATACTAAACAGGCTCTCGAATATTTGCGAATTTGCGTCGTAACCTCAAACTTTATACACCCTCGGTAAAACGACTAGCGTGTACTCCTCTTTTAAGTTCCAAGTTAGAATATGCACGGCTGTATGCCCTAAATTTAAACCCTTGGTTGTCAAGTCTCTCCGTGTGTAAAAGGGCCTCTTGTAAGGCGAATATGGGATTTTTATGTTTCACACATAATTATTTCAAGTCCTGTCTGTTCGACCTCAGAACTCGGATATTCAATTGGGCTATAGTTCCTCTATCAGCGATGCACTACAAGCAGCTTAAGGTGAGGTTATTTTTGCTTTATGTTTACCCTTTGGCAGCTGCCATCGGGACTTCTCGGGTTCAATATTTATGTGCGTATGTTCTACCTCTGAGCTTGTTGATGAACAGCTGTCAATCCCATCGATTTCCTCCGTTGGTTTTGAAAGCATCATTACCCTGAATTTCGGTGTCCATTTCCTGAACCTTGGACGAGGTCTCCCCTACTAAAGAAGAGGCTGGACTGCTGGGTGATTCCACGTCAGTTTATGCAATGGTGGTCCGGGTCATAACTTAGATATTTTTGTGAAAAATATATATGAAAGTCATGTTCTTGGGAGAAAAATTCAGCTGTATATGAACGCCGTAACTATTTTTTCACTGAGATATAAAATAGAAATCTCGAGGCGTGGAAATTGACAACATTTCACACTGCTACTTTGCACAGTCGTCATTTCCTCATCGAAGCTTTCACGTCACCATAACTTTTTTAATAAATCTTACAAAAGATATACAACACATACACAGTAAATTAAAAAATATAAATAAAATATTTCTATGCAAACAAAATCATCAAACATGGCATAAAAACGCGTTTTAGAGACATATTCACAATTTTTCTGCAAATAAACCATCTTTTATAATACTTCACAAAACATATCAAAATGCGCGCCTTTAAATATTCTTTACGAATATATGAAGACAATATGCCCACCTTTAATTATCTTTTTGTTATAAATGCAGAAATGCGACTGATTTCTCAAAACGTGGCAAGATTCATTTCCTTTAAACTCCCCTTGGCACTTTACAGTAACTTGAATTAACCTGTGATGGCAAGAGTGAGTAAAATATGATATGACCTCCGAACGGGAAAAGTTACGACAAACCATCACTCGGAGCGAGCCGGCGTGTTCGTCATGGCGGCTTTGCCGCACAGCACCAAACATTTTGAGCGATAGTTATGGCATGTATTTTATATTATTAAAATTCTTTTTTTTCATAAGGGATGAGTATTAGTTACGTGAAAAGAGACTTTGAGCTGGAATACCTTTAATTAGCTTACAACTCGCAGAAACAAAACGACCCATCTGCAAATTCGCTAAGTATGCATACATCAGCTTAAAACTCTCAGTTGCGCGAGTGGCCATGTATACATCCGGCCTCTCGGCATATGATGACCACCACAGATGAGATCCTCTCACAGGTTTTACGGTCGTCCACTCTTCTTGCTTCACTGCACGAAAC